ACCACATATTCACTCAACAAAATATAATACGCACAAACTAATAAAATTACTTTACTTTTCAACCACACATTCTCCAAAAAATAATATTCAAAACTCTATTTCTTCTACCAAAATGGGAGACAAACAAACACTAAATGATGATTTGAATATAAATAGTTCATATTTGTTGATAACAAGACACGTTAAATAGGGGTATATTAGAAAACTTAGAATTCTATTATACTCTCAACAAGGAAAGTGACCTATTATAATTTGGAATGGACGAAAAAGGAAAGCAAGTCTATCTTTATGGAACGAATTGAGTATATTACCTCTATTTTCTATGCATTCCTATGCAGTATTTAATATTTTGATACGGTTGAATCTATATAATTTAGGGAGGGATCTGCTCGTGGTTACGGCCTACGTGTCAGTCAATCTGTTGAAGGATCGGATTCATGGGTCGATGATCCAATTACCCGTCATATTATAAGTCTTTACATTAATAAAGAAGAGAAAAGCGAGAGTTGTCTATTATGGCCTTTAGTTTTGCACATGAAGGGTCCATACTTCATTCTTGTATTGCCTTTGGTTGAACCTCATCATTTGAAATCCTATGCAAGAATGTGCAAAAGTTCGGATTGTGGAAATTCTGTCAAAGAAGATGAAAGTTTATGTTCCCTCTTGCTTGATCTTCCATCCATCACAGGGTACGGTAAGTTATATTTTTTAGTATGCTGTCTGCTCTTTTCTCTTCATTTGGGATACATTTGTTTTCGTCTCAATCTTGGATTTTGAGATATTAATGATTTTCTCTCTCTCTCTTACTAAATTGTTCTGGATAAGTTGGTTTTTTCTATGTTGGTACATTCTATCATTAGCTGAGGAAGCTGGAACTATTATGTAAATAATTTTGGTTTGTTGCTTTGGCTTGCTATTCACCGTGAGATGGGTAAAATTTCACTTCCTTTTTGTTTCATTAATTGTGTTCTTTGTCAAATATCTAGTTTACAACTTCTATACTCACAGTGCCATGGTAACATATTTTCCTCATACACACCTGTTATTTATGGCTATTAATTTACTGTTCGTAAGGATTTTGGGATTTTGATTATAGTCGCTGATATGTAATATGAGATGTATTCATAAACAGCTTCTTAATTGCAAACTCTCTATGTTTAAGTGTTTCTCTGCTTCCCGCACATTTTGACTGAATAACAAACTAATTCTTACTCAGGTGAAAAAGGAAGAAAAAGGCTTTTGTTGCATAGTGGTTTACTGGAAGTCATTTTTGGTTAAAGTGGTAAATGGTTTCTTGTGTTAATTTTGGGTTTAATGGATGTTTATACAGCCAATTGTCTATGTCAAGAGACAGATGATGAATTAGAAGGATGACTTAGGTAATTGGAACATGTCGTGCAGATCTAAAGAAGTTCTTGTTCACTAAAGTGATGTATTCCCAGTAGAACTATTTAAAGTGGGAGAGATAGTCCAAAATTAATTGACCGCATGTGGATTTGATCAGATTGAATCTTCCAAGTGATATAAAATTGGAAAGAATGTAGTGGTGAAAAATGATTCATGTAGTCCATCCCAAATTTATTGGGAAAAAGGTTTAGTTTGCACTGCACCATGTGTTGGTTGAATCTTCATAAACATGGACTAGAGATCTTGTTGTCCGATCTGCTTTAGCTATTGAGGGAAGGGTGTGTTCTTACCAGCAGTTCTGTGGCTTCTGCCATTAATTCATTCATAAATTCTTTTCTCATAGTTCCTTTTCTCCACAATTTATCAAATGTACGTAACACATTTGCATTTGCAGCTTCTTTCAAATGGTGCATGCTTTTTTTTTTACAACCAAATTATCTTCCAAGTATCATTATTAGCTCTTGTAACTTGACTTATCTAAAAACATTCTTTCATGCAGAATGAACCATTTTCCTTATTTAACCGTCATTTGTTATAATAACATCATTAATAGTTGCTTGCTGAATGAGACACATCATAATTTGTTGGTTTCTCCTGAATTCAGGGCCTTTATTGTGGCACATACGATAGGAGACGTTATAACAGGTGACATCACAGAGCCTGAAGTATTCGTGAGTGCCTCTCCATCAGTTGGAGGACTGCTGGATTCCCTTACTGGCAGTATAGGGATTTCAGGTATCTCAGCAAGAGCCAAACCTGTAGCAGCATCTGTTGCAGCCTCCACTGCTTCCGGAACTGCTGTGAGTGGAGCTGCAATGTCTGATTCTCAAAAAATAGGTTCAAGGCCCTTGGACAAAGATGCACTTCGTTCTTTCATCAGTAGTGCAATGCCCTTTGGTTGGTAATCTTTATTGTGGTATTTCTCATCTCAAATTTATTATGCAACCTCTGTGGTGGTTCACTGCAGTTTTGTTTGTTACTCTTAACATTCCTCTCCTTGATCCAGGTACTCCACTTGACCTCAGCTATTCAAACATTTCTGCAATCAAGACTACTGGCTTTTCTTCAGCTGATATGCCTCCTGCAGATCGCAAGCAACCAGCATGGAAGCCTTATCTTTACAAGGGGAAGCAGCGGATTATGTTTACAGTTCATGAAACAGTTCATGCTGCAATGTATGATAGGGACGAGATTCCAGATAGCATATCGATTTCTGGCCAAGTGAATTGTCGGGCAGAGTTAGAAGGGTTGCCTGATGTTTCGTTCCCGTTGACAGGGTTGGACACTGCTCGTGTTGAGTCATTATCCTTCCATCCTTGTGCTCAAGTTCCAGAGCACGGAGGTGATAAGCAGGCTGTGACATTTTCACCGCCATTGGGAAATTTTGTCCTGATGCGTTATCAGTCTTTTTGCTCTATTGGGCCTCCAGTAAAGGGTTTTTACCAGCTTTCAATGGTCTCTGAAAATGAAGGTGCATTTTTGTTTAAGTTGACCTTCATGGAAGGTTACAAAGCTCCTCTGACAATGGAGTTCTGTACTGTGACTATGCCTTTTCCAAGGAGAAGGGTGGTTTCCTTTGATGGGACGCCTTCTGTTGGAACAGTATCCACCACTGAACATTCAGTTGAATGGAAAATAATAACAGGTCCTCGAGGAGTTTCTGGGAAGAGCATTGAGGCAATTTTTCCTGGGACAGTAAAATTTGCTCCATGGCAAAGTCAAAGGCTGAATTCCTCTTTGTCTGCATACGCTGGTATTGCTGATGAAGACAGTGATCTTGAAACCGAGTCGAGTAGTAACATTGTAAATGTAGAGGATTACTTAATGGAGAAAATGAACAAGGACCTTCAAGCAGTAGATCTAGATGAGCCTTTTTGCTGGCAGGCATACGACTATGCCAAAGTATGTGTTTTCCTTATTGCTGTTACTTTCCATGTGCATATTTGACTAAGCTTAAAAGAAATTTACTTATTAAGTTAATAAGTTTTAAAATGAAGTCATTTTGCTGAATATCATTATTATCTCCAACTGAAAAATCTTCAATACATTGCTAATTGATGAAAATATGATGAACTTCTTTCACAAAACTGCTTTAGTATCGGAAAAACAGCCTTTGCTGAAATTAGCATTTATTCCTGTGGTTGCAGGTATCTTTCAAGATTGTGGGACCATCTTTATCAGGAATGTCTGTTGATCCTAAATCTGTAAGCCCGTATAACTATGTCAGTTCTCCAAAAGAAATAAAAATAAAAGTTACAACATTAATACATCTTAGTCTCTGTCTACACATTGTATTTAAACCTCTGTTTCTCTATTATGGCCTGTTTGGCAAGGCTTTTGAAGAGTCAAAAGCTACTTATAACACTAAGAAGCTATTTTGAATCTATTGGATAATTTCTTGGAAGTACTTTGTTTGGCTGGTAGAGCTTTCGGAGGAAGCTGGTTTAAGGTAGTTTTCTCATGAAACTCTTCAACAAGAAGCATCAAGAAGCAGAAGTCCATTCAAACAGGTCCTTAGCATTTAAAAAAGCATTTTTAAAGGCAACTGGGGGAGGTGAAAAGCCCAAACCTTAGGCCTTTCTCTTATGGATTTTTCGAAGTAAATCGAAATGGAAAAATGCTAGAGAATATCATGATATAGCATCATAATAATGCAATGAGCATCTGAGAAGAAAAGAAATAAGCACTTGTTTGAGCCCCATTTTACGGGTGAAATGTGTTTTTGAATAGTAATTTTTTGAAGAATGTGTGGTTAAAAAATAAGGGAAAGTTTTGGGTTTACGTGTAAAAATATTTCATGGAAGAATATGTGGTTGGAAATGAGTTTTGAAAAAATGGAGGCCAAACATAGGCTAAATCAATATAACTAAGCTCCATCCGGACGTGCTAAAATCCCATTTTTTAAGAGAACTTGTAATGTCTTTTTTAACTAGAATTGAATGAGTTTCATTTTTTTTTTGTTTCAATTACTTTTGCCTAAAGCAATTATATTTTCCAACATAAATCTGATCTATGTGTTGCCACCAAATTCATTTTTGAAGCTTCGTAATGCATACACCATTTTCACCCCTTCATCTTCAACATCAGCTAAGCTCTCCAAATATTTTTTTCATCTGATTAATCTTTTGAATCTCTTATTTACATTTTGAATTGATAAAATATTCTATGCCCACATTTTTTAGATGATGGTGAAATTTGGCACCCTATGATATCTTCAAAAGAATTTTTAGGGTTCTGTTTATCCTGTGCTTAGTTCTATATGAATTTCTGTATTTGCGATGTGATATTTTCTTCTTAACTTAGCAATTGATATTTGATAGTTTATATTCATCAATTATACAAAGTTAAATTCATATGTTTTGTGTGTAAAAAGTTAATTGCAATATTATATTAAAATTTTCTTTCTAATTGTCAATAATCAAAGTGTTATTAAGTATTGGGAATTATTAGTTTTAAATGTGGAACAAACTGGGTTCCTAATAAATTCTATTAATTATTAATTTTATTAACATGTTGAATAAAAAGGATGCAACGGCAGACGTTATTTATATAACTATCCAGCATTACAGTTTAACCATTTGCTAATCTGCAACTCTCAGATGTCTCCTTTTTATCCTTGATTTTTTTCCATTCAGCCTGTGGTTTCCTGTCAAGTAGTGCTCAACCATATAGTTCCTATTGCAGCCTTGCACCCTCATTTGATACTTGAATTTTATTTTTATTTTTTTCAGATTTCTAAGTTTAAAATTATGGTGTGCAGGTAAGCATATTTCCAGCAGTCAAGGCCCCTGTGGAATTCTCATGTCAGGTATAATTGGTTACTGTCAAATGGTTCTAAATACCAGGTTCTTCTTGTTTGACTTAACTTAGAAGTAGTTACTCATAAATATCATTAATCCATTTTCTTCCTGAGTAGCCAATATTTGAAAAGGCTCAATTCTGTACCAAGCCGATCTACCAGGAAAGGCGTAAGGCACAACATGATCTAATAAAATGATTCAAAAAATATTATGAGAATAACTCTCAAAATCCACTCTAATGCTACTAATATAGCTGTCAACAAATGACTCATCCAGAAGGCATCAAAGAACAACATCATGTTCACTATAAAATTTACCGAAAAGAGAATTCAATAAAAACCTAGAACTGAATATACTAACCTAATCGTATTTCCAGAAGCAAGTCTCTAAAGAATATTGAAAAAAAAAAAACCTATTATAAAGCATGTGGAGATGAAAAAAATCGAGGCTCACCTTCCACCACAGCCTTCAGTTATCGAAAAATGTCTTCTCACNTAAATTTCACTCCTCATATTGGAACAATCATCTCGTCCAAAAAACAGAGATGAATACCTTAAAGCTGTATGACAAAAAATTATCAGAATCTAGCAGCAATGGGTGATTTGCTTACAAATAGAATTTTTCTTTTAGCAAAGAAACAAAAGATTGAGGAAATAAAATATGCTTAATTTGCAAGTACAACAAATAAGTTGATAACTTAATTTGTCATGATAAATTTGTTATGGGCAAAAAAAAAAAAGAAGAAGAAAGAATTGAGTTTATAATGACATTTGCAAAAATGAATTAAGTACAACTGCACACTGCCTCAATCAAATTTGAACTTAAGTACAACTGTACACTGCCTCAATAAAATTTGAACTAACTCATGTGGCATTTCTACAGGTCTTGTCTGTTTCCCCGTGTTTTTCAAGAGCTTCCTAATAAGTTACTATTCCTGCCTTCATAATTTTTGAAGCAACTCCGTAGATTTCCACGTAATTTGTTGATAGGTATCAGTTAAGATTTTTGAGATGCATCTTTGACCCTAAAATAATATAAAAACTATCAATCATGTAACATTATAACACGC